AAAATAAAAAAAGAAAAAAAAAAGAAAATTACAGGCCTCTCTCATCTTTTTAAGTGGGAGAACTTGCACAATTGGTGGCTGACTAAATACTTTTTTGCCCCACTGTATATATGTTACTGTAACATAAATATTGTTTTGCTGTTTTGAGCTAAGACGGAATGAATTGAATTGTAGAGTTAAAAGGATTCGGACCAACCCTTGGTTTAGTGAGGGAATCTGAATTAAAGTATCCTTGACAGATGGCTCTCTAGCTTCTCCTTGAACAAATCCAGTGAAGGGGAACTCACGAAATCTTTATCAACTGATTAATTGCTCATTTGTTCTTGCTATTAAGCTTTTTTCCTTATGTTCAACTGGAATCTTTCTCTAACTTGACTGTTATACTAAGGACTGTGCTATGCTTTGGGACAATAGAGAACAGATTTGTATTGCTCTCTTGGAGATACCTGAAAAATATCCTTTTTGCCTTTTTCTGCACTTACTCTGGTTTCTCCAAACCGTTCTTAAAATATGATGTCCGTAACTTGACACAGTATTTAAATTGAGGTCTTTCCAATGCAGAATAAAATGGGACTTTTGCTTCTCATGATTTGGAAACAGTATTTCTATTGAAGTACATAAATTTGACTTTTGTCTTTGAGCAGCCATATCACACTACTGATTGATAGTCGTCAGCTTGTGATGAATTACAATGCCAATATCATTTTCTTACTCTATACTACCAAGACAGATATCTGTCATCCTATATGTGAGCATTCTGATTTGTTTTTCCCTTGTTGCATCCTGTGAAGAACTTTGAATTTGAATTCAGTTTAATTCTGTTCTCTTCTCCAGTCCATCAAGATTATTTTGAATCTAATATCTGTATTAGATTAACTACTCAATCTTGTGTAACCCTCAGATTTTATAAGCATTTTGTTCTGTTCATCCAAGTCATGAATCACAGTGCTGAAGAGTACAGGATCCTTGTGATACTCTGTTCAGTATCTCAGTCCTGGTTGATGAGGATCACTGATTTTTACAGTTTCAGTCCAGCTGTACGTCAAACTAATAAATAAGCCACCCAGACAATTTTTATCTAGTTTATAAAATAAAATCCCATAGTATATTTTGTCAAATTCTTTGATGAAGTTGAGTTGTCAACAAGCTATGTCAGGAGTTAAGACCCATACTTGGTGGAGTTCATCTCTCAGCAGATGGTGCAGTCATTACAATTCTCCATTGTTACAATGTTATACTCCTTTCAAAGTTTTGGAATTTGCTTTTGAAAAGCATCATTCATGTCTTCTCAGAATTCTGTGCATGTGCGGATATTTTTAACATCCATTCAACTCTTCATTTTCTAATATCTTAGTCTTTTTCAACAAGTTATATCCTACAGTTACTCTACTCCAGTCCTGTGAATTGCCCTACCAGGTCTCCATTATAGCTAGTAAATCGTATTAGTCTTTCTGAAATAAGAGCTCAAGGTCATCTCCTACAGAGGAGATACCAATACAGTGTGAAGACCATAAACTTTCACTCAGCCAATGTTCCTTATGTTTTTCCACATAAGGAAAAAAGCTTAATAGCAAGAACAAATGAGCAATTAATCAGTTGATAAAGATTTCGTGAGTTCCCCTTCACTGATGTCTCACTGAAAGGTTTAATAGATCTCAGTTTAGTTACTCTCTCACTTGCCCTTATAGTGCATAGCTCCTTATATCAAGTTCTTATGTTTGGGTTTCCATCTCCAACATCCTTATGGTTCACTTTAAATCCCCTCGATCAAATTCAGTATGCTTTGATTATACGTTCTAATCACCCTTCCTCCCTTCCTTGGTAGGCTACCTTTCAAATCTGTATTGCTATTTATTTCTAGGTGAAATAATAAATCTCAATGTCTTTTTTGGGTTTTTTTTTTAGTGTTGATTATGAGACTTTTGACATACTGGAGAATGAAGAGGTATGTTGTTCATTTGCAATTCTCTTATTACTAAGTTTAGAAAATCTATAATGTGTAACATTAATTAAGATTACATTTCCTAGGTGCGGCAAGGATTAAAGAAGTATTCAAACTGGCCAACCTACCCACAGCTGTATGTGAAAGGTGAACTTGTTGGAGGTCTAGATATTGTTAAGGTGAGAAAATAATTATTGAGAAGTTTATGAACATTTCATTAAAAAAAAATGGATCCCTGGGTTATCCATTTTGATACTTAGTCTACTGTGTTCATATTTATGATTTCTTTGTTATGTCAACACTTCTTCAAAGTGTTGTTTTACTGTTCCTAAAAATTTGGGTCCAGGATTACAGTTAAAATCGATGGAAATGCCTTTATCACACTTTATCAGGGCCATAGTGTTATTGGTTAGTGTGAAAGTATACTCAGATTATGGAACATGTACCTTATGAGATGATTTTACTTCTCCTCATTCAAATAATTGTCACCTGATCTGTTCTTTATTCTTACAACATTTGATGGGCCAGACTGGTGGTTTTTCTTTTTCAGATATGATGGATTACCTTAATAGAATTTTATATACTGATTATTTTATACCGTTACTGATTTTGATTTTAATTTTAATTGTGTGCTGCTCCAATAAATACATTAAAGCTGCCTGTCTTTTCTTAGCCTTCCAACCTGAAAAAAAGGTGCAGCTGCTTTAATGAGTAGCAAAGAAATGTCCAAATGCAAGGTCTAGGGCATTTTATCCACATCATTTTTGAAGCATACACCATCTTAATGCATACTAGAAAGTCAGGCTGTAGGTTTTAAAAATAATTATTCCTTCACTGACCAGCTGTCTATAGTTTGATCTACTTCTGCAGTACCTCTGTTACCGTTATACAGACTTCTTATAGTTTGTTATTCAAGCCAATCTTCTTTTTGTAGCCATGATTTAGCTGATGTCTAGCTGATTCTTATATACCAGTACATAAAGCATTAATTTGCACAAGTTTATTTCTGGTCCTTTTTATATTTGAAATATGATTTTTTTTGTAATCATTAGCTTGATATATTACTGAAAAAAATATTAAATCTTCATTGTATGGTTATACTAATAGATAAGATAGCAGTGAAATGCTGTTTCTTGACATCAGTTAGGTATTTGTTCTAAGAACTATCTCCTCTTACTCCCATGGGTGGATTTAAAGATATCATTTGGATTTTAGCTTTAGTCTTTGACATTATTTTTTTCTGGAACGATATGATGTTTTTCCTAGCAAAGTGTCACATTTCTGGAAAAGAAGGTAAGATTTTATTGTGTACTTTTAAAAAATGCCCCTGAAGGAAAAAAAAATAGATCTGTATTTCTCGCTCCATCTTCTGATATTTGTGTGTGTGCACAACGAAACAAGCATTGACTTCTAAACCTAAATTGTCCTGGGTCTATTCTTGTCTTCAGTGTTTTATAGCCAATATCAAAGCACTGTATCTCCTGGGAAGGTAGAATCAATAAGTCTCATTAGTTTTTTAAAATAGGTTTATGTTACTTAGCTCATGTAGTTATTTTTTTAAAACAAATATTCAGCAGTGTACTGCATTCAAAGATTATACACTGTATGGTTTTAAAGAATATAAGATTTTCTCACTTTCTTTGCATGTAACTCCTATTAAATTTCCTTACATGACATGGTACTGTATGTTCTGGGGCCATTGGAATCAAGACAGATCAAATGATACAGTTCACATTTTAATCATTTTGAAAATCTATTGGAAAGCATTTTTCATTGACAGTAACATTTTACACACACACACACATACACACACACATATTTAGCAATGTCCAATAAAAGTTCCTTTTCTGCAGGCAGACTCCTCTGACTTCTTTTTGGGTTGATTTTAAAAATTCATCTCTAATAATTGCATTTGTTAAAATTATAACTAGGGCTTGAAATATTCCAAAAACAGTTGTTCCACATCGTTACCTTTTTTTCCAGCCCTAGAACATTTAGTAAGTTTCTTTATTTTCATCAGCATGGAAACTTCTCAGTATGTTACAAGCTAGTTGTAGGCTTTGAACGCACAACTTTTTGGGGAAGTCACTGCCTGTTTGCTCTGAATTGTTCTTGCAACCAAAGATACAATAAAATATGATTAAGTGTTTTGTGTACTCAGGGACACAAAAAAGCATGCCTATGACACTCCCTTTCCCAGAAAGCATGCTATGATGCTCTCCCTGCTTTCTAGGGAAACAGGAACAGGAACAATACAACTGTAGAATGTATTCCAAACATGAAGAAAATTCCAGGTCCATTTGTTGGGTGCTTGTGGTGTGGTGGTAATAAATTCTAATGCTTAAGTCCCAGAGAACTGCTACTATTAAGAATATGTGGTACTGGGTTTAGATGATGAAATCTTACCTGGTATAAGGCAAGATTCATATCTGAGGTTAGGAAGACTCCATGAGGCTGCCCCAGATAAGATGTTTTGGTTGCAGTACTGGCAAGTCCATGTATGACAGATGTCTAGGCTAGTTTAGTAGATACACAATTAATGAAAATAATAGCTATAGGGACTGGGCTTCATGCATCCAACCTGCTGGTTTGCTAGAGTTTCTATAGTCATATTAGTCTCTGAATGTTTTCTCCTCCCTTTTTGTTTCCAGGAACTAAATGAATCTGGTGAGTTGTCATCTATTCTGAAAGGAGAAAATTGATGCAAATGAAATACATTAACGAAGACAACTGAAATACAAAAAATATTATTGACATTTGCACTGGAACAGGTCATGATGGAAAAAACAGAACGTAATTTCTGACTTCCTTCTCATACTTTATCAGGCCATGGTAGAGGTATATGTAAATGTAGATTTTCATACAGTTGTAAAGTTATGAACATCTTCAAACCGAATTAAAATTGAAGTTCAAAAATGTGTCTGAGTACTTCAGTTTTTCCTTCCATTCACACAGTGTAACTGGTGGATCTGCTCACAGTAAGCACCACTATAGGCATTGAACTTTCTGATGTTGTGATCTGACACATGTGATAATGTAAGACACCTTTATAGTGGTCCAGTCAGATTCAAGAATGAGGACTCCATCCAATCAGAACTGATGTTATGTGAGCCATAGGTTTTTGGCCATATTTTAAGTAGTATCTAAAAGGGGTGCAGTATAGCAGACTTAGGGGCTTTTCCTTACCTTCATTGATTGGTAAAGTCTATCTGTTACTAAATTGTATGTTTGTGTATTCATATTCTACCAAGCCTTTTGGTTGTAATTTCTGTAGTTATTTAGATTAAAATGTATGAAAACTTATCTATACAGCTGAAACAACTTGAATAAAATAGCAATAGAGAATAGAATTCCCTCTTAATAGCAGACAGGTGCTGAGTGCCAGTAGTAACATTGGTATGATTTAGGGTAATACTAAATTCTAGATAAATTCTAGATTACTAAAATAAGATAAAAAGGTTAAAAACAAGCCCATGTGCTTCCAAAGGGATGTAAGCAATGATGGTAGTGCAGCAAGAAACCACAGTTTCTAGAGCAGAATATTTTGTCAGCATATTCCAGCTGCCTTCTGTGATCTTCAAGAGAATGGTCAAATATCCATTAAATTGCAGAAAAAGGCTAGAATT